GAGTCCTACTTTTTTCAGACTTGTGCATGGGATCTGATCCGACCACTGATTTAAAGTCCGATAAACAATTTCTACACTTCCAGTGGAAATGAACACAAGATAGATACTTGCAGGGCATGCTTGAGTGAATAAAAATACGATATGTTCGGGGTTATAGTACTCCAGCCATTTTTTATTGTTAACCGACTTCAATTCGCCGGAATATATATTTTTAAGTATATTCAGCGATAATGGTTTGCCACTTTAACCAATTTCAATAATTCATTTTTTGTTAGAAAGGGGGTTCTTCGAGGGTGGTTTCATATATATTTAATCAAGGCTCAATAATTGCGTCCATGAGAAAATCCTCAAACTCTTAATTTTTTATGTATGTTCGGCGATAATTCTTTAACACGTTGTCAGATTTCAATGATTTTTTTTTGTTAGAAAGGCGGTACTTCAGGGCTAGTCTTATATACATATATTTGGTCAAGATTTAACAATTGGGTCAATAATAAAATCCTCAAAATCTTCATTTTTTTATGAATGTCAAGCCATAATTCTTTACCACTTTTTCCGATTTCTATGATTATTGTTTTGTTAGAAAGGGGGTACCTCATTTGCTTGAGATCTAGTGATGAAATCTGTATGATTTTGACGTCGGTTTTTTAAAATTACTTTCCTAACTTGTTTTATGTCAGTGCTTGTTTTCAAAATGTAAGTTGTGTTGACCTTAAGTTGTATTTTTTGTTCTAAAACTTATTAAATGCGATATGGTTTGAAAATAAACAAGAAAAATATTCGTAATTATTGTTTTATGCACCTCTCACAAATTATATAAACAGGAAAATATTCATATTTTTATGATTAAGTCTATTATACTAAGTATACTCTATAAAGAAAACAACTCTAAAAAGCTTAATTTATTTGATTTGATATAAAATCCAAATTGGTTTATAAGTGTAGCCCGTTCAATTTAAGTTATTTTAGAATTAAAACTTTTTTTTTAAAAACAAGACTTTATTTTAAATAACAATAAAATACTATTTTACTCGACCGAGGTTAAAACAAGAATGAATTATATGTTAACAAGCATTATCTAAAATGGTTGGTTTTTCGTTTTCTTATGTAGTACCATGTTATACCAACGGGAAGTACAATCAGGATTATTATTACCAAATTAAGTATATTCCAAGCGGTTGGATGGACTTGTTAATCAATATTGCATTTCTTTAATTGTTTGGAAGTCAATTGCATGCAAATATATGGGTTCTTCTGTATTTTCCGAGTTTCTTCTAAGATTCCACTTGAATTTTGGCAATTTGCATTAATTATTTATTCAGTGCTTCGGAAGGTTGAATTTTCTGTACGAATTTCGCAGCCATTGGGTATTTTTTTAAGATGTGTTTATTTATTAGGATTCCCTTTTTTTCGCAATTTGATTCTATTTTAATTTGTATATTGGCAGCAGGCAAAACGAGAATAACTTGGTCATTCATTTCTTCAATTGTATTGTGAGTTAGCATTGCAGGACTGGCATTGCATCTTGGTTCTTCAGCTTTAATAAGAGGAATGATACAATTTTCATCCTTTATATTTTCATGGTTTTGGCACAGAAGTACTTCTGTGGTTTTGGCATAAATAAATGTCGTTTAATTTTGGACAGGGAGTTTCTTCATATTGCTGACTTGTCGTACCGAGTATTAGGTAGGTTTTTCAGAAATTATTATGGATTTTTGGTAAGGTAGGCCAATTAGGTGAAATGTTTGGTAGTTATCATTTATTAAAATAGGTAAATAAATGACAATAAATTATATTTGAGTTTTACATTATTACCTGAATGTCTGTTAATTGATTTTATTTTTATTTTTGGCATAGATGGATGCCAAGTGATTTACTAATTTTAACAATTCATCATGCAAAGATCCTGAATGAGCAATAATAATTGCATTTTCTAGATTATCTAGGAAATTTATTAACTTTTGACAGTTTAGAATTACTTGATTATTTAATGCATTTGCGAAAATTTTATAGTTTTAAATATTTTTTATGTATTTATCCAGTTTTGATAACAATTCATTTAGTTTGTTTCTAATTAAATTTTAATTTTCATGTAATATTGTTAATGTTTTATTATAATGATTGATAAGATCTTGATTTAGAGAGGTTTGAAGTTACAATTGATGAGTTACTGACTTTTGATTTTTTGTGTTTCTATTTGATAATTATATTTAATTTAGTCATTATGATCTAGCGTGCCAAAAACCCTGCTTGCTGCACCTAGACCGTCAAATAAACCACGTTCGTTTCTAGTTTTAGGAGTTAAATTATATAACTTATTAGTAATAGCCTTAAGTAAGTATTAAGCATGTACGAATATATCCTTAATAAAAGGTTTATTATATCCTAAACTAATAGTATTAGGTAACGTTTCTAATCTATAATAAAAATAAATAATATTTCGTAATTGTGCAATAAGGGATTTTGTCTCTATGAAATGTAAAAATGTTTGTTTAGTTTCTATTATTTTCTTTTTTCCTAATTCAAGGAGTAAGAGAGGTGTATCAAGTTCATTGATTTCAATATCAAAGATTACGGGGATAGGGATTAAGGTCAGAAGGAATATTATAATGGTTTTAAGCATTGTTTTTTTGCTTATGGTCCTGAGAATGTTAATTTTTTAGACGACTTTTTAATTTTTGAATCATGTAGGTATTTGTTTGTCTTTATCTAATAGTATTTTGGTACCTAAATGGCGTTGAACTTTTGATATAGTATGGCGAGGTTTAATTTTATTTCTTTTAGCTTCTCGATTTTTATGAATATTGTTTGGTTATTTTTGCAGTTAACGAGTTAACGAGAACCTTACTTAAGACTACTACTAATAAGTTAAATAATTTAACTCCTAAAATAGAAACAAACGAGGTTTATTCGACTTTTTAGGTACGGCAAGCAAATGGCTTTTTGGCTCCCTAGAATGGCGAAATTAAATATATTTATCAAATAAAAACACTTACAAAAAATCAAAACTCATTACTTCATCAATTGCAACTTCAAACCTCTTTAAATCAAGATCTTATCGACAATTATAATATAACAGAAACAAACTAAAAGAATTGAGTACAAAAGTAAATAACTACACAGAAGATATTTATAACTATATAACTTTCGCCAACGCATTAAATCAAGTTATTCTAAACCATCAAAATTTAATAAATGTCCTAGAAAATCTAGAAAACCCAATTATGTTTGCACATTAAGGATCTTTGCATACATTAATTGTTTAGTTGATGAATATTTAAAATTAGTAAATCATTTAGAATCTCTCTATGGAGAAAATAAAATTCTTCTATTTGAAAATCCATTTTACTATTTTCAATTAACAGGTATTTAAGTTGTAATGAAAACTCAAATAAAATTTTTGCCATACATTTACCAATTTTAATAAATTATATCAACCAATTATTTAACCTAATTGGTCTACCTTACCAAAAATCCATAATAATTCCTGAAAAAAAACCTACCTAATACTTGGTAAGACAGATCACTAATATGAAGAAACCAAAACCATGACGAAATAATGGATAAAAATTGTATCATTCCTCTAATCAAAGCTGAAGAACCAAGATGTCTTGCCAGTTCTGCAATCCTAACTCACAATATAATTGAAGAAATTAATTACCAACTTATTCTCATTTTGTCTGCCAATACACCAATCAAAATAGATTATATTTTCGAAAAAAAGAGAATCCTAATAATAAAACAAAACACTTTACTAAAAATACTGGAAAGGCTGCGAAATTCGTACAGAAAATTCGACCTTCCGAAGCACCAAAGAAATAATTAATGCAAATCCACTTATATTGCCGAAATTCGAGTGGAAAATTTAGAAGAAACTCCGAAAATATAGAATAATTCAAACAGTTGCATGCAATTGACCTCCAATGAATTAAAAAAATGCAACTCCAGTCTAGATTAGCCTCGACGGTTATTTAACAAGTCCATCCAGCCGTTTGGAATCTACTTAGTTTGGTAATAATAATCCTGATTGTATTTTCCATTAGTATAGCAGGGTACTACATAAGAAAAACGAAGAAACAACCCACAAAGCAACCAGATAACAACCCCAAATCCGTGTTGTTTTCTCTTAAGGAATGAGGAGTTATGTAAAGACATTTTGCCATATCATACAAAATAATAGTGACGTTCTATATATATCATATTTCATTAGGAATAATTCTTGTTAACTTTAATTCATTCTTATTCCAACCTCAGTCGAGTAAACCAGTATTTTATTTTAATTTAAAAATAAAGTTTTCATCCTAAAATAACTTAACTGGCATCTCATAATTTTCAACTTTTTCGTTAAAGGTTGGCTTGTCAACTTTTCTAAACTAAATACAATACATATCCTTGTTGATAATTTTTTATATCTATCCTTTTAACTACCACTATAATAGGAAGACACTTATATAATTAAGTTAATATTTATTAAAGGAGAAAGGAAAATTCAAAGTCTTTACCACAAAAGAAAATAACATTTATTGTTAAGGCAAATAATTTCTGCGAAAAGCCTGCATCAAACCTAGAAGACAACAAAACAGACAGTTATATGGAGACAAATCAAAAACAATGCAAATATATTTAAAAGGGTTTAAAGTTTACAGTGATCATGAGTTTCCCTTTCTCCTTTACGGATAATACTACGTTAGTGCAATAAATGACTTACTCTTAATATTATTAGTTTCCTCAGTAACTTTATGAAGAATTTTTCATAAACGTTTTTAAAAATTTTAAGTTACCTGTGATGATTATCTGCTTGAATCTAATCTATATGATCAAGATATTTAATTTTAAGGCCAAAAAGATGACTTTTGAGCCAAAACTTGTAGCATGTGTTAACTTATAACTTTTAATAAATTTTCGTGTTACTGATTTTAAGAATTTTATTTTCGTTTATTAAAATGGCCGCATTTAAACAGTTGAATAACTTTTACGATTTAATATATTTTTTGTTGTAGAGAACTAGCTACCATGCATGAATCCTGGGATAGTCCATATAGATGGCGTGAATTAAGATCCCAAACAAAACAAGAATCAATAGATGAAGATATCGATTCCCACCAAACTTTGTCTAACATTAATTTTATTAGAGAACCAGATGAAGATTTAGAAGCTCTTCCTAGTCCTGCAGGATCAGATGATGGAAAAGAATTAAAAGATAGCATAAATGAGGCAATGAAGATGAAGGAAAAAAGAATAGATTACATTAAACAAGACCAATTTAAAGAAAAACATATTAAATTCGAAGATAATCAATTTAAGGTAAATTTACGTAAAGTGGAGGGATCTTCCAAATATAAAAATATAAATGAAAACTATACAATGAATTCAGCCCCAGCAAATAAAGATTTCGACTATATCAAGGCTATACCTCTTAAAGTTAAACCAAAATACTCTGTTGATCCTATTGAAGAACTAAGGAATATTGCAAGAAGAGACAGTAATGCTTCAGATGATGAACCTCCATTTAATTTTCAGGGAATGCTAAGAAAAACTAATTTTAGGCGAGAATCTCTTAAAAACTCGGTCCAAGCAATACGTAGATATTCTCTTACAAAAGAGCATGGAAAAAATATTGTAAACGGACTTCCTAATGGACATGATGATGATAATGCAATAAATAGAAAACATTGCTCTCTAGAAATATTTCCAGGACTTATAATGGAAGGAGTAGAAGTTGAATTATAATTTACGACTTGCTTGTTAATTTAGTGACTAGATGAAAATGTTATTCAATAAAAATATTAACTAGTTTTTTTTTTTATTTAGGATCTCTGAATACTTTTTAAAGTTGAATTAAATATCATTGAACCAAAATAAAATAAACAAATAAGTAAAATATATTTAGACATAGTAAGACTAAAAATGTTTTATTTGTAAAGTATGCTTTTTATGAAACTAAAATTATTTAAAGCACCAACAGGAAGATTGGGTCGCAACTGTTGCGATTTTATTTAATAAAAAAACGTGAAATAGACAGGAAACAGTAGTAAGACACTTCGCAGAATTTTTCGATTTTTCCTCAGATCTGGAAACATTTGTAGATGTGGCAACGTTGCAATACATGAAATAAATGGTAGGTATTTTTACATTTCCCCAGACATCGAGCAATTTTGTAACCAGAAAATCCACAGAAAAAGGCAACGTCGCATTTTAGTACGACGCTTCGATCGAGAGATTCCTTAGGTAGATAAGAGAAACATCAACATGGCAGCTAGATATATGTCAACGGGCAAGAAGGTGACGAAAGAGAGCATAAGAGGGTTCTATACCCGTCCGCCATATTGGAAATGTTAATGTTCAAATTGCGGGCTTAATACTCACCAAAAAAAATATCTTTTTTGTATCCGTGCTTCTTAGGCATCGTAGATTGGCGCATGATAACTTTTTTTTATAAACAAAAAAAAATAAAATGAAAAAAATATAAAACAAGTCATATACGTATAAATGTTATCATCCGCCATTCTTCATTTGCCCCTGAACAACTTGTGTATTTACCATTTTTGAAAAAAGTAAGTAGTTTTTTCTAAAATTGAACATTGCATAAAAATTTCAGAGGGCACCGGGAGGTGCTGCCCCCAACGGTCTTCTTTTACGTTTGGATACCATGATAATCAATATTTTCTATGCCAGATGGCGCACCAGTCGCGAAAAGTATGTTCAGTTGCCTAAACCAATAAATATTGCAGAGTTACTTTCCGATCGATGTATAAAATTGCAAACAACACGATACACAGAATAACGGTGTGTTCCTGCGCATGCAGCTGACTGACGGTGACGTCACGTGGGACAGAATTGTTAGTATTAAATGGGAAATAGTGTTTGAAATTCGATGTATCGCCGGTTTTAGATTTTATGCAGTTACTTAAGCTTTATTGGTTATTTAGTAATATATTCGTTTACAAATATGAAGGTTTAAGGTAAATAATACTAATAAAAATATTAATTTTTTTCATAAATTTTACGTATGTTGTGACAAAATCCATAACCTGGATAAGATAAATAAAAAATATGGACTAAAAATATAAGTTTGACTGAAATTTGTACTTTCTGGGAGTGGTAGTTCCTTTTAAATTTATTTTCCTAGTACGCAGAAACAAATTATTTTTTTATAAAAAGCAAGTACACAAAAAATAATTTTTTATTTGGTAAATTTAAACATTTTTTTGCCAAGTTTACTTTGAAAATATTCAAAACTAATTTTTCTATTCATGTATCTTATTCTTATATATGTTCCTGTCCTGCTCTTGCATAGTATTTCTTGAAAAGGGACCGTTGTATTGGGACAGGAAACTACTGCTTTATCTGCTAAAATTTTAAAATACCTATTTTCTTTGCTGAATAAAGCCCCATGCACCTGGTGGAATTCAGTTTTCTTCTCTTGCGTTTATGTTTACTACTTTCCTCAAAGTAAATAGGGCAACTTCATGCTAAAATAATATTTTAGCAACTTTTCACTGTCTCTAAACCTATTACACTTGTGCATTTTACTAACCATTATTGTTTAAATTAAGTTTGTCCTTTCTATGATAAGAATTTATCCACATTTTGTGGCATTCGAAAATATCTTACATTACACTATTTTTGAATTTCGCATTATGGATTTTGCAAGTCTCCACCGCGCAACCCGGCCATTTAAATATTAATTCAGTTCTTCCCTATTATATATAAGAAAATATAGTCACTACTAACACAAAAACAAATAAATTATTAAATTATTTTACACTATTCAATCAAAAAGTGTCAAAATAACTTGAAAGTTCGTCCCGAATTACGTCACTGCGCGGTTTGGACGAAATTTGAATCGAAAGTCAGTATATCGTTAGTGGCTAGTATGTGTATTGTGGGCAAACAATAAATATTGTGTATATTTGGCGAATTTTGAATTCAGTTCGAGCTTTTAGGTTCGGTGTTGCCGTCTCTACAGATAGTTTGTGAATCCACAGACAAAGCTCATAGTAGCGTTGGAAATAGTCCGTTTTTAAAATACATTTCTACAAAAAATTTATTCCTAATGAAAGTTGTTTCTATTACGAAATGAAACAAAATTCACAGAAAAATAAATAGGGTGGGCATAAAATTGCTATAAAATAGGTAGTGTTACAGAATAAATACAAAATCCGAGCGCGAAATTATAAAACGAGCTTGTTGATTTTGGTCTGAAATTATAACATAACACACTTTCTAAAAAAATTATCCTAAGTTCAGCTCCGAAAATCTTTACAGTCGGAAAAAATTAATAGGTACCGATTTTGCTTAAATAGTGGAGAAAAAGACATTCCTATAGCAAAAATCAAGGGCGCTAATGGCGTTTTATAAAAGGCTTTGAGCTCATTATGAAACCCAAGTTTAAAACCGCATTTATAAACAAATAATTGTCTATTCTGTAATGTGCAAATAAAAGGAAAGAATGCCACCCTTGGCAACGTTGTAATTTTATGTGTTGTCATCAAAATAAGTGATCTGTCTGTGGTTGTCAATGTCATTGCGAATGCGAATCAAATAACAAATACATGTTTATTAGTAAATTAGGCATTCCAAACAAATGAAGCGCGGTTCTAAGGTTTGGAATCTCTAAAGGGTTGCGACATACGATGTAGTCTATTTACAATACGTGAAATCAAAATTAATGAATTAAATTTAAATATTTTATGTCAAGCACAATGAAAATATTATTTTTATAGAAACCGTTTATGCATTTTCTATAAATTGGCAGGCTTGGCGATTACTATTTCAAATAGAAATAGCGTCCAAGATTAAAGGCTATGTCGCAATCCCCTTAGATTTATGAGCCCTTCCAACTGACAACTATTGTATGACAGGTCTTTGGAATATCTAATTGTGTGAGAATAATCGCTGTGACTTTAATAAATCGACAAAGAAGTGGTTTTTATTATGGGTCGAGTACAAATAAAAAAAAACAGCAAAAGATTGGTTGGATTACTTCACGTTTTGTGTTGTCTTAAACTTGTACGATTATATATATTGAGCGTTTGAGGCCGCATAATTAGGTTATCATTGGACGAAGACTGTTCAATACAGTATCTCTTAAATTTCCAAAATAAAAACTAAAACAAATAATATATTTACCTACATATATTTATACGCTTTTCTATTTATGAATGTGTGAAGGCTATAGAATAAAGTGTTCATAAAAAGTAATTATAATTAAAATAAGCTCAAAAAACTAGAAACCGTGTTAAACTTATTAAATAAAAACCGATTATATATAGAAATCTAATTTTGTTAGTCATCAACGGCCGAAAATGGTACGTCTAGATGTTCTTATACGAGAATTGGTAGACTATGCAACCACAAATGCACAGAAATGTATTTCAGGCTGCCTAACAATTTCTTTAAAAGGGGTGGGGGTTATGGCGAAGACGTAAGGGACGAGGATTTTGAGGTTATGTATGAAATTGACGGAGCTGATGGGTATAGAACCCACATAAGGACCTAAGCCGATTTGCACCACCTGTCCAGAGGGGGGAGACTCCTATGCGCAACACTGAGGTAGCGAAAAATCAACCACGTCCACTTGGCACTGCAGTCATGTGGTGGGGTGGGTGGTAGGAGTGTAATAACCATAGATAAATTTACTTACATATTAAAGATGACAGGTAAATATTGATTTTTGTGTCATGGTGGAAACTGGCTAATAATTATGAATCTATTGATATTGTTAAATTTGGTTGCATTCATTTGATATTTCAATTTGTTTAATGGATTTAGTTATTATAAATTTGTGTTAATTCTTTGGAAGTGTACCGGATGGACTGCCTTCAAATTATTTTAGTAATCGAATAGTAATTTGGTTACACCTTTGTCTTTAAAATAATCTAAAAGAAATATCCAGTGAAAGAAATGCCTTTAACTTCAATTGATTTAGACATCGAATATGTTGATCGAAGTAATTTGTTACTTCTCTTGGCTTAAACTAAACGTTTGAAGACAAAATATGCTATTATTGGTAAGTTTTAAAATTTTATGTAATAATGCAAACCGTTTCTTAAACTGTAATCCACGGGACCATATCACTGAAGGATTCCGTGAAACTTACGTGCTCAAGAAGGTAACTAAAAAAAAATAAAAAATTTGATTCTTTATAAATAAAAAAAAATACTTATCCGGATATAAGTATTTGAAATAATTATCATTTTTGTTGCAAATAGGTAATTTAGTTATAGAATGTTGCATTAAAACCATACTATTGAAACAAACTAGGGGGTATTAAAGAATGTTCCATTATTTATCAAAAATATCAAAAAGACATGTTTGTTATTTATAATACCTACCTAAGTACTGCTTATTATGTATCAATGTCCCTTTGGTCCAAATTTATTATTTATTTTTGAGTTAATATTGATTTATTAGACAGCTTTTTTGAAACTGTTAAATTAAAGTCGCTTTTACCCTTAAAAATCAATAAAATTTTACGTTTCGCAGATGTTTTGCAGTTGAAGTAAAATGCATCTGTAACACATTTTACCGTAAACTAATTTCAATACCCAACTCAAAATGTTTGAAATAATAACTGATCCTAGGTTAATTTAAAGTACAAATCATGTAAAGATATTTCAAATTTCAACACTGTCTGTTGTTGGTTCACCCTCGTCCCAACTTTTACACAAAGCATAGAAATGTATGATTCCTAATCGAATAAAACTGATGACGGTGAATACTGCCATTATTTCTGATTAATGTTACATTTTTATACTTTTACTGTATTTTCTGTTTCAGAGTTTTCTTCAT